TCCAGTCTGGGTGACAGAGTGAGACTCCTACTCAAAAAAAAAACAGATACATCTCTTAAAATGTATACAGGACTGGGCACAGTGGCTTAAGCCTGTAATCCCAGTACTTTGGGAGGCCGAGGCAAGAGAATTGCCTAAGTTCAGGGGTTCGAGACCAGCCTGGGTAACTTGGTGAGACCTCACCTCTATAATCAATCAAAAAATAAGCTGGGCATGAAAGTGCATGCCTGTATTTCCAGTTACTTTGGAAGGTGATTTACTTGGAGGTGAGGTTGAGAGGGAGGGAGGGAGGGAGGAAGGAAGAAAGGATGGAAGGATGGATGTTCTGGTGCAGTGACTTGCGCTTGTAATCTCAGGCTAGAAGTTTGAGACCAGCCTGGACAGCATAACAAGACTCTGTCTCTACAAAAAATAAAATAAAATTTAAAAATAAATGAAATTTTTAAAAGCAAAATTCCCTAGATTTCAAAACAAATAAACGGAACCTTATCAACTTGGCAACATAATCACATATAGAAAGAGTTGGTTTAAGAGACTTTATATCCTTAATAGGATATATTTTAAGGATCAAAAAAAGCTCCAACTAAAATTTTCAACTTTAAACTCTTATATATTAAACACCCTTAAATTTTAAAGTTCTCTCAGAAGTAATGTTGCTTATAATATTATCAGTACTGGAATTTTGAAAATGTTATTTTCTTATAAATAAAGGACATAAATGATTATATTAATAATGTAAGGGGCCGCGCACAGGAGCTCATGCCTATAATTCCAGCACTTTGGGAGTCTGAGGCAGGAGGGTTGCCTGAGCTCAGGAGTTTGAGACTAACTTGGGCAATATGGTGAGACCTTGTCTATACAATAAATTTAAAAAATTAGCTGGACGTGTTGGCACACGCCTATAGTCCCAGCTACTTGGAAGGCTGAGGCAGAGGGATCACCTGAGCCCAGCAGTTCGAGGCTGCGATGGCTGTGATCAGGCCTCTGTATCCCAGCCTGGGAGACAGAGTGTGCC